GAATTTAACAGCATAAGCCCACTTTCACTGGTCACTGTTGTCTAGCAGTTAGTAGTCCACAGCCATTAATAACACACCACCAGTGTCAGAGCTGGGAAGAGCACAATAGTCCAGGTGAGAAGATGAGACTGTTCCCATTACTGCCTTGTCAGCCAGGAACAAATCTAGTTCCAAGCAACATCCTCTCATTACCAATGCTAACGGGAACCACTGTCAGTGTGTTTTGGTGGTGAAGGGCATCAGACCTTTTGTCTCACTACGACCAATTTCTATAGAGGACAACCAATGCCAGTCTTCTAAGAGCCACCTGCAGCATATTTTTCTGCAGCACCCACGAAGGTAATGTGCTCTAGGGTCTCTGTCTCAAATGCAGACACCTACAGACATCACTGGTTCCAATGTGGACCAAGGTCCTTCCATGAAATATGCACACACTTTGACAGATCAACCCAGGAAACGCAGTTAGCCGCATCTCTCTGTGCGTGAAAGAAAAAGGAACAGCAGACAAAGCATCTGTAGATAGGACTGGGTCAGCTACACTGGGCAGTATGTGACCAGACATCAAGGTTTCATCTGCTCTCCCTCTCCTCTCTCAGCAGGGCATAGAATTACTGTAGGTCAATCAGAGAAGGAAAGACTTCAAATTTAAAAGGAGCAAGGACTAACCTAATAAAACTAAGGAATCTCTTCCCCAAAAATCCCTGGAGAAACGGACAGAAAAAAGCTAAAATGATGAGTTTCATCTTACTCCCACAAGTAGCAAAAGCAAAAAAAGATGCTCAGAGCACTACCTGCACCTGCAGCCAGACTTGAGTATTCAGAAGACTGCAGTTCCAGACTCCTGGGACAAGGGGACACTGACAGAAACCACACCACACTGGGATTTGCACCACACATGCCCAAACAATTACTCCAAGAGGTTCACCTTTCACACACACACATTTCTGGGGAAGCAGAACTGCACTCTTACCACCTTATGTTCTCTCCTACCTCCTGCCAGGCACAGCCAGACAAGATACTAGTCAGAGCCTTTATCTGATCCACTAGAGCTGTTCTGCAGTTCTACAAATGCAAATTTATTTATGTACCTATTTGGTAAGTCTTACCTGTGCTCTGGTAATTCAGCTGGTTTTATCTGGAAGTCTCCGTTAACAACGATTTCATGCGCTAATGCCATGTTGGTTACTCCCTTAGCTGTTTCCATGAGCTCTTCTATTGACACAGGCCGAGGAGGACTGGCTGCAACATAAATTAAACTGTCAGGCAGTTATCCATAAAAGTCTGTGGAAAAAAGTCTGCTAATACTTTTGGACCCTTTCCACTCTCTTGACAGTACAGAGGGCCAAAAGACAGTATCATCTGAAGATTCTTCTTCTTTCATTCCCTTCCTTTCCCAGCTGGTGGATTCCATGTCACATGTTTGCAGTATTACAGAAAACAAAGGAGTGAACCCCAGTTGATATTCTGGGCTCAGCAGGTCAGTTGCTTCCAAGTTCAATCAAGCGCTTTTAAGAAAAAAAAAAAACAAACCAAATAAAACCTACACCCAAATCCCCAATTCTTTAGGACTGCTTAATAGCATCTTAGCATCTTTCTCCATAGTATAGGAAGAAATTATTAAAAATCATAGCATTTTCATGGCATTATTTCCCCCATTATCGTGCAGATGTTGCCATTTCAATTTTATATTTTTCAAGGAAGTGACTTCACCTCTAAAGCAGTTGGCAAACAAACAACCATTAACACTAAGTAATAACACACTAGTAGCTAATTATTCTCACTACTTCCAGTGCAACTGGCACTTCTCCAAACTATTTCTTTTCGTTAGACGGCATCATCTAAGCAACAGAGGACAGCCCCAGCCCCAATGCCTAAGACCTCTTCCTCTGGCAGGCATTTGGGACCGGCAAGGATGGGCAACCAGCTTCACATTGGGCCCTGGAGCATACAAGCAAGTAGGAGGACATGCCAAACCTGAAAAAACAGGCCAGTTTTCATTAGGCAGGAGACAAAGGTAGTGACTGACTGCAGAAATCTAGAAGGCAGAACAGGGACAGTTTCAGAAAACTTAATTTGCTTCCTGGATGCACTGGGAATTGAGGCTCCTAATTGTTCTGGACTACGTAACATCATCCTCCTGGGACGCTAATGGCATGGCTGTAGCGCAGGAAGAGCCACAGCCCCAAAACCAAGTCGACATAAAGGCAGAGAAGGTGCAGGATGTAGGCCATGCTGGTTAGGGGAGTAATCCCATCCCCGTTGAAGCCAACTGAAACCTGTCGCCACTGATTCTTTGCAGTAAAGTTTCCTCCTAGCTGTGCTAGCATCAGGGCGAGCAGTGCATGTGGGTGCCCTGCAACGCCTTGCCAGAAGTCAGGGCAAGCACCACAGCTCTTCCCTGGTCAAGGTATCTGAGAAAAAGGAGAAGGCTAGGTCATCAGAGTTCTCAGGTGAGGCAGGCAAGAATGGCAAGGTTCATCTCAGCAACTCCAGAAAACACAGAGTAGAGCAGAAGGGAGGAAAGAGCCACAACAGAATTGCACTGATGGATCGATTCCTCTCTGTAGTTCATTCACCTCAACTACAGTCCAGGCATAGGAGCAACACACTAATTCCCAAAACAAAGGAAACCAACCCGGGATCTTCACAGGCTGGGTTCGCTGAAACATGTTTTAGGCAAACTATCATGACTGCCTCATTTGAGAAACCAGTGTGACCTAACTTAAGCTAAAAACATAGAAAAGGTCCTTTAAACGTAACTGTCTGTCACTTGTCCGTCATTCAGAGCTATTCCAAGTATACACAGTATGGTTCCAATGTGCTAATTTTTCACTAATATCTTGCTCTTTCTGTGCAGCCCAAACCCCTTATTTCCTTCTGCTTGGAGCTTAATCTTGCATAGTGACTTTGAGAACACAGCAAGGATTGATATTCTGAGAAGAACCCGCAGACCAACAAAGTTCACAGCTGAATGAGAGTGCTCTTGTCCGACTGCCAAATGACTTCACTCTAGCAGTGGATGCACTAAGAGCTTTCACTTACCAAAGAATGCTCTTAAATCACGTTACTTCTTTCTCTTATTATATCTGCTCCCTTACAAAAGGGGAGGGCTTGAGATCAGTGACTTCTTTGTGGTACAATGCAGTGCAAGACTATGATATGCATTTTACTTTCACGTGTTCATAGCCTCTCTCCATACATACACCACACTTCCTATCAGGCAACCAGCAAGACATAAGAACATAAACTCCCTCAGAACACCTCTGTGAAACATGACACTAAACACCACACTGAACCTCAATAATAAACACTACTAAAAATAAAAAGAATGCAACAAATAAAACGTTACATGCTGAGACACTCTCTATGGAAATTTGGAACTAGTTATCTGAGCAATTCTGCCTCTGAATTGAATCCCTGGGACCAGAAAACTTCCCTTGGTTTTATCTATAGATTTGCCAGAAATAGTTGGTAGCCATATTGCACCCAGCTCCTCACGGTAAAAACAGAATGACAAAGAAAAATATGCCCTAGGAATAAACTTAAAATACGCAGTCCTGCTTGACACTAGAAGAATATTCAATCCTAATACTACAACTTCCCATCTGTACTGGGAGGGGGATGACAGGACATTACTTTGCTGTTAACAACCTTCCTTGCTCTGCAGTAGAAACAGAGGCTGCAACAATCCAGAAGGCTCAGCTGATAATGCAAACAGCAGCAACAGTTTAGCTGGAACACACTGGAGCGGCGCTCATCCTTTCTGTGAGTGCAGATACGCAAAGGCATTTAAGATACATGTGGCTCAGAGCAACATGGTTATTGTGTACAATTACGTACTGAACCAAAATGGTGTTACAAACAGCTTTAAAGCAAATGATCAGCAGTCACACAATACTTAGCTGCAAAAGTCAAACTTGCACAACATGCTATAAAACACTAGGATTGTCTCCACCAAAAAATTATAGAATTTACTTTTTATTTTTTTTTCATCAAGAAGTTTGGCTTACACTTTGGTGTATCATCTCTGTGCAACCCTGGAGCACTCTGTCGTATTCTTTTTCTGATAGACTGATCCGGGTTGTCCAAGCTCTCCTCTTGACCATCCTCCAAGCCACTCGACTTTTCTTCACTTGAATGTGGCTTGTCAGGATTCTGAGACATTTTCAGTTGGTTCTTTTCAGAAAAAGAAAATAAAAGGATGAAAAAGGGAATGAATAAGTGTTTTCTGACACGGCTGAGTGGGTAAACATCACCGGGAGTTCTCCTGATTAAGAAAAAATTAGGACTGAAAGAATTCTTATGAAGAATTATGTGATGTCATTCCCATAATGCTAGGGGACCTGGACTCAATGACTCACTTCTCATCTTGCACAAAACGGGATGCTTTCAACACAGCTACCATTTCCTTAACCTGCATTCCTAGCAAGTTCTCAAAAATGTGAAACGGTTCCCTCGCCATAATGCATACAGATGAGAAAGAAAAATATATTTAATTTTCTTTCTTAGCATTGCTTATGAGAGAACAGTGAAAAAACCACCTTCAGAATACTATTACAAACATGTTTTACAGAAAGATTATGCCAAATGGGACATTTCCCCACTACGTAACGACAAATCTTCCCGAGCACAACGTACTCCTGAACTACGATGTGCCCCAACTGCTTAGAACTTAAAAGTTTTCACTCTGAGTCATCCAAAAGCATTAAAAAGCTGGAAAAGGTCTAGAGATAAATAATATAAAATTCTACTCCTGTATTTTCATTTCATGCAAGAATCATGAGTTATGCATAAAATATCAGGAATATTTTTAAAGAAATATTAAGACAGTAAAGAGCATAGTTATAGCATTTAAAATATTAGTTTATTAAACATTAGATATTAAATAAATTTTATATTACATTACAGATATCTGCAGTGTACCCAATAATTTGCACATCTTACCACTGAAAACTCTATCATACAGGAATCTACTGCTCAGACATCAGTTTTACAAAAATCTATTAGAAAGCATATATCTCTAACTCAATCAAATAACCTGGATGTTCTGTGAAGTGGGAAGTCAGGAAGAGTCTGCCTTTCAGAAAACAAAAAGCAGCTCCTGTAAAAACAACAACTTCTTCTTTCACCTAGCATCCCACCCTCCCCGCTTTCAAAATGGCAAAGAAACAAGCTCTCAGCAAGAGATCCAGCCTCGAGAGGTGCCTCACAGCTGCTAGGAAAAAACACTTGCAGCGTCAAAGACTACACTGAAGAGGATGCAGCACAAGCAAGTAACAGTGTAGACGTATAAAACGCAGCACTGAGATTTTTTTATTTCCGTACAACAGCTGTAATAACCAACCCTGCTCCGTCAGTGCTTAAATTGATTGGGCCAATGGGATTCTACAGGACAGCTGGAAAGCTCAGTGCTTATAAGAAATGGTTTTGTTCGACAGCCACGACTCAGATCATGGTCTCGCTAGATGCACGAGATGCACAACAACGTGCAACACTTGCCCACAGCACTGTGTGATTTCCGTCTTAGAAAAGAAAACTAAGCATAAAAAGCACGGGATAAATTACACAAGAAACCCAAGACGTCAGTACAGGTCATACACTAGCCTCCACCTCCAGCTGGAACAGAGTTACTGATGTCCCTGCTCCAAACGCTTGATCATCTCCCCCTTCACACACACGGACAACCCCAGCTGGGACAAGAAAGTGGCACTCTGCGCAGGGCTGCAGTCACGTTGCCACCCTTTTAACTAAGGCAGAGATAGCCTCCAGCTAGCTGCAATGCAAGGCATCCAAACCAGCATGCAAGTGGGAAACCAGTGGTGGGAAACCAGTCACGTGCTCCAGAAGTGGACCCACTTAGGTCTTTAATGCACGTGACACTTCGTAGTGCCTTCCAATCTCTTACTGCACTTTATCCTCACTATCCTCAGAAAAGTCGAGAAATAGTATAATACCTTACTTACAGAGGGAAAATTGAGGTGTCAGTCAAGTTGTTTGAGGACTTCGAGAATATAAACGACAGTGCCAAGACGATAATCAATCTCATGATTACTACCCCTAGCTTTGCCCACCAGGCCATCATTCCTACCATGCAGACTACAGCCCAAGTATCACCCCCCATAAAACGGCAGATCAAGAGCTAGAGTCTCAAACTCAACAATTTCATTTAATTACCATTTGTTTTAAAAAAGTCCTAGTTCAGCTGCGGAAAGTGGGTACAAGAACTCCTGGGCCATTCTACCAAATAACTAACTGTTCAGCAGATGAGATAAAAAGGTACACTTGTTGGTTTAATTGTTTAGTTTGCAACAGTCTACTTTTTTCTGCTGGATTACTGCTATTATTTGCCAGCACACATCTAGAACAGATCCTCTTTCCACTGGGTAAATAAGCTTGACAATACCTCTTCCAAAAGCGTGATCATCATCTTTCCTTTCACAGAAACAATTCTCTTAATCTAACACTGCCTACTTCTTGGCACCTCAAATTTATTTTTAATAAAAACAGAAGTGCAAGAGAAAACCCACAAATTAAAATTTAAACAAAATATTTTTCACAGGTTCTTTTCATCACAGGTCCTTAAATCATCTGATGCACACCAGCATTAAATAAATTTCACTGTGCTTCTATGGAATACACACAAGGCTGAAGGAGTTCCTTATAACGTCAAGCCCCACTGCTCTGTATGAAGCAAGACTCAACGATTCCCTTACCTCCCGGCCAAACACACAAGCCCTGAAGGCCACCTTTCCTCAAGCTCCAACGCTAAACTCTCTCCCCGTTCCTCTGCTCACCTCCCGCATGACAACCTGCTTCCCCTCCTTACCCGCGGAAGGGCAACCTCCCCCTCAGCTCTGCCTGGGGAAGCTGCAGCCTGTCCTCTGCCCCTCTTCCTAATTACAAGGGAGGCTTGTGAACTGCTGCCATTTTCCGTGTCTGCAACCCGTTCTGCGCCAGGCCCTGGAAGCCCCGGTCCATCAGCAGGGTCCACCAAGCGCACACAGTAACAAAAATACCGTACCACGGAGCGGCAACGTTCCTCTACCACCCCCTCGCCCCCCCCAGTACTGAGCACCCATTTTCCTGCCGCACTTCCAGGCGGGTTCAGAAGTTTCGCGGCGCTTTCCCTGCACTGCCCAGCCGGGCGCTGGCAGCGGCTGCGGGCACAGACGCCACAGCAGCTCATCCATGAGCCACACCGAAAACAAGCCCCTGCGGCGCAGCCGGGGGCTGTTTTTGCAGACGCCAAACGGGCGAGGCACGGAGAGAAAAGGGGACGTGACAGCCTCCTCCGGCCAGCACCGAATCCCAGCCGTCTACCCCAGCAAACAGCGCCGGAGGCAGGGCTGCCCGGGCCCGGGCCC